ACTTATCAAGCTTTCTATTAAACTCACTTAAATCTACTGCCTCTACAACATCTGAAGGTAGCCCATTCCAAAATCCAACCACCCTGTTAGAAAAATAAAACTGTCTTAGCTGAAGATGACTCCTACCCTGCCAAAATTTTTTCCCCTAATCCAACTATTCTTACTGTTAAATATGAAAAAAGATGATGCATCAACACTATCAATTCCCTTTACAATCTTAAACACCTCAATCAAATCCCCCCTGACTCTTCTTTTTTCAAGAGAAAACAATTTGAGATTTCAACCTCTCCTCATATGACAACCCCCTCCATCCCAAACACCATTCTAGTAACCCTTCTCAGAACCTTTTTAACAATTCAATGTCTTTCTTTATATAAGGAGCATAAGACTGAACACAATACTCCAAATGAGGCCTAATCAGTGACCTATACAATGAAATTATAACCTCTTTTGACTTGTATTCAATATTTCTGTAGATACAACCTAAAATCATATTTACCTTACCACTAGCAACAGCACACTGCTTGGATGGCTTTAGAGACTGATCGACTATTACACCAATATCCCTTTCCTTCATAACACTATTAAGGTTATTCTCATCCAAATTATACTTATAATTCAAATTATGATAACCCACATGCATTATCTGGCATTTATTATAATTAAAACCCATCTGCCATTTATTTGCCCAACTCCCTAAATGATCTAAATCCTTTTGTAAATCAACAGCATTCTCTTCACAGCTAGCAACACCCAAGACCTTAATGTCATCTGCAAATGTAAGTAATTTATTGACCATTCCTTCTTCTATGTCATTGATGTACATAAAAAAGAACAAAGGTCCTTAGAATGAGCCCTGAGGTACACCACTTGTGTCATTAATCCAGTTTGACTGAACTACATTTGTAACAACCCCCTGCTTTCTTTCATCCGGCCACTTTTCTATCCAATTTGTTAACTTATTCCCCACACCTATAGAGCTTTTTTTTACAAGCCTTTTATGTGACACCTTGTCAAATGCTTTCTGAAAATCTAGGTACACCAAATCTACACACTTACCCTAATCTACATAAGCAGTAACCTATTCAAGGACTGACAAAATGATAGTAACTGGCTCACATATCCAATCTTCAACCTCCTTCAAAACCCTTGGGGAAATATTATCTGGTGCAGGAGCCCTGTCGTTTTTTCAACTTCCCATTTTTTTTCCTTAACCAGCTCAGAATTAATGCAACCGAAACCAGACGACTATGGATACAAATGGCTTTGGTGTCATCGTTCAGCAACTGATACACGAACAAGAGTAGCCAAGTACAAGGAACGCACTATAGACCAAATCTGGAAGTTCTGTTAATAAGTTATCCAGGAATTCAAAAGTTTAAGGTGAGAGAAATTTATTTTTTCATTGTAACATTTTCAAATGTAGATTCCAGTTACAATTATAATTTACAGCTACTATTTCTGAATTTGTGTTTTTATGTATTGGTAACGTAATAAATACTTATCATATAACACTTTCAAAACGCGTTCCCTCACTTCTATATTTGACACTACCCACCATTACTCTTGGTCTACTCTTTACCAAAAAAAAGTAGGATTGACCATAACATTATAACATCCCTACAGTGGAAAGGGTGAGCATATTCGATGAGAGGGTTTGAACAAGTAACTCGTAAGTTGCGGGTAAAACAACCTAACCACCCGTCCATGCCAGGCCCCATGTATTATGTAGAAATAAGGTTACATTATACATACGAGAACCAATGAACTATTGAGTAGTTGATGAGCAATCGGTGAATATTCAATTCGGTTCATTGTCGGAAAAGTTATTCGGTGCTATTAGCGAGAATTATCTAATCTGTTTTGCTATTTAAAGTTAGCTTGTTTTTTTATAAATCGAAGATAACAACAATACTCTCATACATTTGACAACAGTCTTTGTTCTAATAAAATATTGATAGATATTCTGATCGAGTTAGTGCACCTAAAGGTAGATCCTTATCAGGAAAATGATTTTATATAATAGCCATAAATAAGTATTTCATTTAGGATTTAGTTTGTTGTTGTTTTTTTTACTAAAAAGGTTTGCTGTTATTGTTAGTTTAATTAACAGTAGTAAAAAGAAGTACTTTCAAAGTTGAAATACAATGTTGAAATACCAAAGAAATTGTGGTCATCTACATAGAAGTGATGCCCTTGAACTAAAAGCCACAGATTTTGTATTATCTGGATCAAATTGCAAACTATCTAGCATTTAGATATGAGGTGAAGAATCAACTATCCATTTTCATATTTTGAAAACCAAATGTTCTTTAAGAATTAGCACACAGTACGAACAGTCTGTAAAGACATCTGATTGTCATTAGGAGGTATGTTGTTTTCTTGTTTTAGTATTATTTGCACTTTGTAAACATATATATATCTCATTTTTTTTAGCTATTAGAATGTTAAGAGGCCCGGCATGGCCAGGTGGATAAGGCGCTCGACTCACAATCTGAGGGCCGCGGGTTCGTAGCCGCATCCCACCTTACAGGCGCGCCCTTGCAGCCGGGGGGGCGTTATAATGTGACG